ACAGAAGAACTCAGGGTCACCGGGAGAAGTGGAACCGGAAAGTGGCGCAGTGTGTTGTAGACTCGTGAGGCCCAAGGCTTAACCTCCTCCAGGGGCAACAAAGCCCATCCTCTTGTTTCCTTTGCTGTGGTTCCAATCAGCACACCGGGCTTTCCCTCCAGTGCTGCTGACCACTAACAACCACAACTGCAGGGCAGAAGGCACGGGAGGGGACCCATCTCTCTGATGGTCCCCTCCCAGCTGCTTGGGATGGAAGCTGAGAGCACGCAGAAGCCTGAGATGCGAGGACCAGAGGAAACATCTGAAATGAGGCTTTGGCTGATGTGACCCCCACATCTTGCTCAGGAGGTGTTGGGAATCCAAGTGGCCAAACCCAAGGTCTTAGCCATTCTAATTCCCAGAAGATGCTGTGTCCCACCAGCTAGGAGGAGGTCCTCGTATGCCATTCCCATCCCTGTGGCACAGTGACATGTCCACCCAGCAGACTCCCCATCACAAAGCTACCTCTCCCACCCCTATACTAGGCTGCCAGGTCTGCATTTCACCCCGTTATAAGACCTCTGGGAAGCCATGCTTCCATTTTCTCTCTTAGGAAGTCCTAACTGCTGGCTGACTTTTATCTGTCCTGCTCTTTCCTCTCTCCACTTCGAACTCCCCAGCCCTTCCCTGTGTTCACACAATCAAGTCCCATTTTCATCAGTTTAGTAGCCCAACTATTCAAGCTCCCGTTTCTGAAGGGACAGAGCCACGGCAGCCCTTCAGTGCAGGGTGTTAGGTCCCCACGAACCACAAGCTATAAAAATATACTGTGCACATAAATTACCACTGTGAGCCTCTCCCATGAGGAAAGCTGGAGCAAAGAACTGATACACAGACCAGCTTCAAGGTGGCCAGGCCAACGTGTATCTTAAACATTGGTGACATGGGAAGACTTAGTGTGTCATAGGTGTCTCACAGCCACCGGGCCATCACTGGAAGCCCAACCCTAGGGGACCCATGCATAGAACCATGTCACTACAAGAATTTGGGTCGGCACATAAGGTTGGGCATAATATAAAGAAATCTTTTGTATTTAAGCATTACAGTTACTAGCTAATAGAAAGACATCTCTACTTAAATAAAATCCAAACAACTGCAGATCGGGTGAGGCTGGGCTGGCGAGACACTCAGTGGGAAAAGGCACTTACAGCATAAGTGTGACAACCTGAGTTCAGTCCCTAGAACCCACGTAAAGGCCAAGAGAGAACTGACTCTACAAGGTTGCCCTCTGACCTTCACACACATGCTGTGGCACACGTGCCCCCCGCCCCAAACACACACAATCATAAGAAAAGGAAGAGAAAAGAAAAGTCAAGTGAGTGAAAACCTCCTATCCAGGAAGTAGGGTTTGCTCATTCAAAGAACACGGACAGAGAACTGTGTGGCAGGCACAGGGCCAGGCTCAAAGAATTAAAAGCAAGCAAGGAAAACAAGGCTGGAGACATCACAGTGTGAACACTCCATAAAGAAGACAGACACTCGTCTGATAGCAACTAATCCAATGGAGGAGACACTAAGGCTCGGGGTAGAGAAAATGGAAGCCTTAGTGAGGGAGGCAGGGACTCCACAGAAAGCAAAGAGCACACGGCAGGGAAGAGCTGTCCTAGGGAACGGCATCTTTCTTTGGTGGAGCTGCGGGGGCAGGCGAGGCAGAAGGGGGAGTATGGCTTCTATTTTCTCACCCCGGCTGCTCCGGGGAGGAAGGATTTTACGGGGGCAGTGAAGAAATAGACATTATTCTGGTAAGGAGGCTCTTTGCAAACTTCCCCCCAATGATGGGATGTGACTCACACGAAGAGACTAAGGAACAGGAGGCTGGAGGCCGAGTCCACACGAGCCGTGGACTGAAGGGATGGATGGGAGCAGAAGGCAAGCTCTATGCTAGTTCCCAAGGAGCTATGGAAAAGTCTGGACAAGGAGGAGGACAAGGGGGTGGTGCTTCCTGTTAGAGCCATAGACACCCCACAGGTAAAGATGCAGGTCTAGAACTCAGGAGCTCCATTAACTTGGTGGTTTTATTATGAAGATAAATAAGAACACACACAGGGAAGTGGAGCAGAGCGCTAAAGGCTGCCCAGAGCCAGAACCTGAGCTCCTTGGTGAGGAAGAGAGTCCAGCTTGCTTGCAGCCCCCTACTCAGCCCCATCTGGTATACAGGGACAAGAAGCCACAGAGGACAAAGACTCAGCAAGAGGGAGGCAGGCGCCTCCAAAGCTGCCCCAGGGAAATGAGGACATCACTGCAGGCAGGTTGGTCATTTCCAAGGATGCTTCCTGGAGGAAGAAAAGGCAGCTCCTGAAAGCGCTGTGGTCCACAGATTGGTCCACGAAGGGGGCAGGTCAGGGGAGCAGTGTGCAGTTTCATGGAGAAGCAGCTGGAGAATCAATACAGCCACGTGGTACTGGGAGCCCCACAGGCATGAAGGACAGGTGGCGTGGAAAACGGAGAAGATGGGAGAGCTTCAGGAGGGGAGGGTGGGCACAGCACTCTGGGGGAGCGTGTCTTTGACAGAAGGGGCAGGAGGAAACACTAGACATGAGCTGTCGATGCCGAGGGAGGAGAAGGACCACCTGCCCCCCTCTACCCTCAGCATCTCTTGCTCGTCCTCCTCCAGGTCTGAGTTCCAGCCATCACCCTGAGAGGGCCTGGGTTAAGTCATTGGACCTTCTTCTCTACTAGAAAGCTTGTCTCAGTCTGTAATCACATTCACCCAGTCCTTTCCCTTACCCACAATCCTTCCCAAGAACCCACACCCACTGTGGGACCCGGAAGGTTAGTCAGAGCCTAACAGATACCTGTTGGCTGCAGGGACTGAAAAATGCACGTGAACCATCCAGTGAGTGGCAAAGGCCTGGCCTTTAAACTATTATGTGTTCACACTGTCCCCTGTGGGTGGGGCTTTCTCCTAAACCACAGGAAAAACACCTCAGCTTCTCCAAGAGGCAGACATGAGATCCATGGACGGTTCTTGACATGATGAAAGTGCATCTTCAGAACATCAGACAACAAAGGAGGCTCACGCCCTCATGGCTTGCCTGTCCGGCAAGACCCTCCCCAGGAAACCCAGCTCACTCTCCTGCCCTTCCTACGCTCCACCCACTAGCGCCAGAAGGGGAGAGGACGGTGCCTTCCTGCTTCTGAGGGCCGGTTCTCCTCAGCTGAGCGCCTAATCTGGCACACAGCCCAGCACAGAGCAAGGTCCCCGTGTCCCTTTGAATAGTCTCCCGCTGTGCAGCTGAGCCCTGCTGTCTTACATGCTAGCCCAGGCTCTCCTGTGTCCTCACCGCCTGCCTGGCAGCCCTCGAGTTCACTGTTTCTCTTCCTCACAGGGTCCAGCTTATTCAACCTGTCACATGAACTTGTCCTGGAATTCACTGTGTAACCCAGGATGGCCTTGAACCCACAGTGATCCTCCTGCCTAGGCCTCCCTAGTGCTGAGCTTACAGGTCTAACCCTTCACACCCAGGGAAGAAATGGCTCTGCTAAGCCTTCCTGCCAGCCAGGGTCTCCCGAGGTCTCCCCTCGCTGTGACAGCTATCCTGACGGCAGTCAAAGGGTCCACGCTTGAACCCGTCAGACCGCCCGAGGTGCACGGCCCACTCTGAGCTGTTCAACACCCGAGGGTTCAGGCTTACTGAGCACACGCAGGGGCACCGTTGACTTCGATGAGCCAGACCTTCAGCTCCTCGTCCACCATGAAGTCGAAGCCGAAGAGCTGAAAGCTCTGGTAAGGGAGGTGTCTGGTGCTGATGGCCGGCTCCACACTCATGAGGCAGCTCCTGCGAGGTTAAAAAACGGGGAGAGCTCGCTGAGAACGGAGTGGTCGGGGGCAGAACGAACACACAGACTATGCCTGGAAGGTCGTGTACCAAGTGTGCATAAAAATCAGCTTCAACTTACTTATCTTTTTCAGTCAATAAATCCACCAACAGATTACTCAAGAGAAGGTTCCTTATCAAACAACTTTGTTAGGGACGCATGCATGGCTCCTGTTCTCCCAGGTCAAAGCTGCTAGCTCAGGCCTCAGGACGGGCAGCTCGGCACAAGTCACCAGGCATCTCCACCCGTACAGATGCCACCAGCTGCTGCCAGAGCTGTTCATGGCTATCACCAGCTGGCCAGTGAGCCCCAGCCAGCTGCCCGTCTCTGCCTCCACAGGGCTGGCGTTTCAAGGCACTGCACCAGACTCTAACTAGGGGCGCTGGGGATGGAACGCAGGTCCCCATGCCTGCACAGCGACGACTTTAGCAACTGAGTCATCTCCCCAGCCACACCCTGCATTCTGCCGTGTGAAAAGTGGACTGGCATTTGTTGGAAAATGCCAGCTAAAGCAGGAGTTGCAGAAAGGAAGCTGGACAGCATTGACTTCTCTTCCTAGCTCCAGATCTGCTGCCCAGTACCTGCTAATGGAACAGTGAAGATTACAAGTATTCAAACTAAACATCGAGATCTATCGCAAAATTCTTAACGGCACCAACTATTATTTTTAACTAGATTTTAATAACTCAGAAAGAAGTTAGAAATCGAACCTTACAAACATACTGAGTAAATAGAGGAGGTTTGTCCTTGTGAGTGGACACTTTACTCGGGTGACTCTTCCTAACCCTCGGAGTATAAACTGTCTGAATAAAGTTGGCTGTTGCAGGAGACTTTAGTCTGCCCATTTATTGGCTCCATCCTCCCAGGTTCCACCGCCTCAAGAGTGGTAAACACACCACCACGCCCGGCTATTTAAAAGTGTTTTAATTAAAATATATTTAAAATACTATAATTAAGAAGAAGTGGAGGTTTAATGAAAGGGGCAACCACAGAAAAGGATGGAAATGCAAGCACTGCAATCTGACACACAAGACTAGACTTTTTATCTGCTGGGAGGCTAGGATGAATAATCCACAGTGAAAGGGTTTTCATCATTAGAAGCTGCAGCCAGTGCACCTTTTTTTAGCTGGAGTGGGAGTCAACAGGAGGCTGTCTGGGGAAAAAGAAAAGCTGAGAGCTATGAGCAACATTCAGGAACAGCACCCCTGCACTGCACGGAATGACCAGTGGGGGGCGGGGCGGGGCAAGGAAGCACCCAATAAACAGTGAGAAGTCAGGATTACTTCTGTGTATTTTATTTTCTCGGTGTAGGAATTCTAACCATCTCCAACCTATGACTACCAGAGAACTTGACATGTAATGATTCCGGATAAACCATAGGTCTAGAATATAAGAAATAAGAAAAAAAAAAAAAAGAAAGGTGACAAAATAAAACATAAGGAATAAAACCCATAGTCACACAATGAAATAATACACAGTAACACAAAAGGAAAAAACTACAGCTGTGTAGATAAATACAGCGACATGATGTTGACAAGAGTTGACTTTAAAACAGGAACCACAGTGAAATTCCATTTACACCGTTTAAAACAAGCAGACAGGACTCTGTAGTGACGGAAAGGGAAGGCTACCTTTGTCAAGGGATCTTATCTTAAGGGAGTGAATAGGAGTCTCTGGGGATGCCGAATTCCTCCCTCCCTCCCTCCCCTCTTCTGGGGGCAGGGTCTCATTACATCGTCCAGACCAGCCTGGAACCCCAAACCTGCTGTTCCAGTCTACCAGGTGCTGGGATCCAGGAAGTGTGCATACTATAAATATTTTATATCATGATCTGTATGTTCATGGTTAGGTGAGTACGTGCATAACTTAAAACTCTGAACCATACATACTTTGGGGTACTATACTTCATTTTTTAAAATCACTAGGTTTGGGAAACTATCATAAAGAATACTGGCACTAAAAATCTACTTCTAGTTATACTAAGGAATGAATCAAGGAGAAAAAAAGACATTGGAAACAAGTCAGGAGCAGTAAATACAAGCACAAGATAGACTACTAAATACAAGATGTGCAGACAGGGTCCCTACAGCTAGCCGTCTAGCTGGAGCAGATGAAATCAGTGAGCTCTGGGGTCAAGTGGGAGAATCTGCTTCAATATTTAAGGTGCAGGCTGGTCCCTACCCACACAAGCACCCACACGTGTGCACAAGCACCTGCACATACACATGTGAACATACATACAGACACACATACCACACATAACTACACCTGCAAAAAAAATTAATAGATAATAAAAGTGAAAGCATACAATGTCCCTGTGACCATGATGGAATTATGGGAAATCCACAAACAAAGCAAAAATGTTTATATCACACAAGGCAGGGTGTGAGCAATAGGGAAAATAAAAAAAGGTTTTGATATGATAAAAGTATAAATACAACCTCATATAATCTCTGGAATGCAGAAAAATATAAAGACATTGAATGGTTTGTTGTTACAATGTTTGTGTTTGTCTTTTTTTAACAGAAACAACTCAATTATCTAGCCTTTCACCTTGAATAACTGGTAAATGAAAAACAAAGTTTCTCAAAGAGACAGGAAAAGATAACAAAAATCATAAGAAACAACAACAACAAAAAAAAAAAAACAGTTAATAAGGTCCAAAGTTGATTTTTTAAAAATCCATCCAAATAAGCTAGAGAGAAGATAAAAATTATCAATACCTAAAACAAATGAAGTGGCCTCACCACAGACAGATTCTACAGACATTAAAATGAAAATAGAGGAAAATTACAAGTGATCTCTGCCCATCAATGACACAGTGGGAAAATCCCTTAAAAGGCATAAACACCCAAAGTAACAGATCAATCCAAAAGGTTACAATGATCTTACCTTATTATGTGTTTGATCTGCAGCAAAATGCTGCTTTCTAAGGTAATATTCAGAGCGCTGCTTAGGTACTGATTGAACTCCTCGAAGAACATTTCATTCCCTTCTTCGTATTTCCCATAGTTCTTTGAGTACTCTTTCTGAATGCAGTGATTGGTCAAATGGGAGGTCTTGTCTTGGAAATTATCAACATGATACGGTTCTGAAGCTGTTCGGAGCACACCCTCTCTATAGAGGTAGATGTTATACTGGTGGTCAACCAGGACCCAGCTTCTGCAAGCCAACAAACACACAGTTTTATTCAGATCCCAAGTTTTTAGACATACTCTCCACACCTTGACTTATTATTATTGTTTGTTTGTTTGTTTTTGAGACAGGGTCCTACTGTGAGGCCCCGGCTGACCTGGAAACCTCCTTTGAAGATATCTGCCCTCCTCTACCTCCTATGCTGGGTCAAATGTGCATGCAACCACCCGGCACACATCTGAATTTTTGCAGGGATGGGACAGTGAAGAATAAGTAAAGGTTCTAAAGTTATAGAAGGCAAACCATGAGTTAGCCAAAATATGAGTTAGCACCATAATGAGCAAATGAAGTGTTTCACCACAAACAATGAGAGACCTGAGTTCCTTTTAGACAATTGTGAAGGCTATGGATGTGTCTGAGGTTAACCAATACCCATAAACATATGCACATGTATGTGACATGTTTGCCTTTCTATATCTTGACTGGCACTACAATCTTAGCAACACTTTCTAGACAGAAGAACTCAAAGGGGAGTAGAAACAAAGATGAGAGACCCCGCTATCCTCAGGGTGGCAACATGCTGGAGATAGCCAAAGGCTCCATCCAAGTCTCAGCTTCTCACTGGGCCCAAACACAGTCCGAAAAGATGACTGAAATCAAGGCCATGGACAGCAAACATTACCGGATGTCAAACTTGCGGTGGCCGGGCTCAAGGAGCAGAGGGTGCTCGAGGTATTTCTGGATCACGTGCACTTGACCCTGGTTGTCTATGAAATCCAGAAGCTCCGACGCCTCTGAGGAGATGAGGATGCCTTCACCTGGCAAAATAAAAGCGGCAGAGACCAGCCCTGCTCAGTTCAAGGAGAGCAGCTCCCGATCAAAGCCAGAGGAAATGGAAAAGTCTACAGGAGAGTTTTACTGGCCTGTTACACACACACACACACACACACACACACACACACACACACTGCTCCTTGCCAAGAGCATCCAGGGTCATCCTATTAACTTTCTCTATATTGTGTTCTCAATACTAACTTGGCCAGCCATGAAGTTTCAGGTTTTAAAATGTATAGTCATTATTATTTTGTGTGTGTATGTGTAGATGTCATACTGTTTGTGTGGAGGCCAAGGGAGTTGGTTCTCTCCTTCCACCAGGTGGGTACTGGGGATTGAACTCAGGTCGTCAGGTTTAGCAGCAGGCACCTTTACTGGCTAACCATCTCTCTAGCCCGAAATTTCAGTTTTATATATACAATTTCTGAGTAGGTTAAGATATCACTGTCAGCTGGGCAGTGGTGGTACGTGCCTTTAATCTCAGCACTCGGGAGGCAGAGGCAGGTGGATCTCTGTGAGTTCGAGGCCAACCTGGTCTACAGAATGAGTTCCAGGACAGGCTCCAAAGCTACACGGAGAAACCTTGTTTCAAAAAACCAAACCAAAACAAAAAATACCCAAATAAATATAAATAAATAAAAATATTTTTCAAAAAGATATCACTGTCACTGGTTACTGATATAATAAGAATTATGGTCTGTGATCATCAAATTCACTTTGAAGACAATGCCCTATAGAAATGCCAAGAAGGTGAGGACTCCAGAGCAGAAGGGTTAGGGCACAGAGGTAAAGCAGTGTGCCCTGCGGCACACTAGGGAAGGCCGAAGGCATGGAAACTGTCCATGAACTGTAACAAGGGACATGGCCTTTAACAGCTGAACTGAGATACACCACACTAGGAAATCCAACTTTGTAAAAGCACAGTTTGATGGTTTTTAGTATATCTAAGAGTTCAACTGTTATCAGAATCTATTTTTAGAACATTTTCATCATCTCCCCTTAAAATTCCGTGGCCATCATCCCTTCTTCATCCCAGCCCCTCACGACTAAGCCCGTCTCTATGGAGCTGCGTCCCCACACATCTCATATGAACTGCATCACACGGTCCATGGCCACTTGTGTTCTCATGGTGTAACAAGTTTTCAAGAGAAGTTTCACAGAGAAAGATTTATTTTCATGAGGTTTAATTTCTAGCTCTTGATCTTATGGGTTAACAACACTCTTGGTATCATGTTTAAAGATTCTTTGCCACTCTCTCACACAATTTTTGTTTTACCTTTTATATGAACTATGAATTAGGTTTGGCTTGATGTATGATGCTGAATGTTTTGTTCTTCTGGTGGTATATTTATGTATACCACCACTTGTTGAAATGTTTATCCTTTTTTTTGTATATACATGAGTGTGCAGAATGTATATGTGTATTAATGTTTCCAAATGTGGGGGTGCATGTGTGCAGGGGTTGGGTCCCAGCTTGCTGCCAGATATTTTTCTTGTTTTTTTTGTTTTGTTTGATTTTTGTTTTGTTTTGTTTTTGTTTTTTCGAGACAGGGTTTCTCTGTATAGCTTTGCACCTTTCCCGGAACTCACTTTGTAGACCAGGCTGGCCTTGAACTCACAGAGATCCGCCTGCCTCTGCCTCCCAAGTGCTGGGATTAAAGGCGTGCGCCACCACCGCCCAGTCGGATATCTTTCTTAAACTGTTCTTTTCGACTTTAAATATTTAGACAGGGTCTCTCGCCGAAACCAGAGCTTGCCATTTCAGCTAGTCTGGCTAGCCAACTTGCTCCAGGGAGCCCTCCAGGCACCAAGATTACAAGAGAGCTTCCTGCCCACCTGGCTGTTACCTGGATTCTGGGGATCTGCACTCTGTCTTCATGCTTGCTTTACCCACATAAGCTACCCAGCCCTACCTTTCTTTGACAGACAGTTGTCAATCTGATGAACTCCAGAATCACCTGGGAGCTGTGTCTCTGGGCACTCCGTGCAGGGGGGAATATCTGGGCTACATGATCTGAAGTGAGAAGGCCCATCTTACTTGTGGGTGAGACCATTCCCTGTGCAGGGGATTCTGGACTGTGTGAATGGAAATGGGAACTGAGCCGCATACATCCACCACTCTCTTCTTCAGGCTGCAGAGGCAATATGCCTGGATGCTTCAAGCTCCCGCTGTCCTTCCTTCCTGGCCACAATGGACTGTACCTTGAATGGTGAGCTACAATGAACCCTTCCTTCCTTCAGTTCTATGGTCAGGATATTTTATCACAGCCACAGGAAGAGAAAGGAAGACAAAAATGCCTTTTGCATCTGTCAAAAATCAGGTGGACATCTATGTTTGGATCACTTTTGCGTTATCCATCCTGTCTTGTGGATTCATGCTTCTGTCCCTCTGCCACACTGCCATGTCCTGGGCACTACAGTGATACAGTACGCCTTAATACTCCCCGGTGAGTAGATGTGAGTGATTCTACTTTATCTTTTTCAAGATCATTGAATGTACTCTATGGCCTTGCTTTTCCATGTGAATTTTAGAAACTACAGGGAAACCTTGCTGAGCTCTTACCTGGAATCACAGACCAGTCTAGGTGAACCGACACCCTCCCTCCGCTGAGCTCTGCAGTCTGCTAGCACACCTGCCCCCAGTCCACAGGTGCCCTCTGACCTCGCTCACCAACCTTCCAGCACTTCCGGCCTCCTGAGCCCACGCAGACTCCACCTCACCGTTTCCCTTTTTAATTGTCTTTAAATAATTTAAAATCATTTTTAATGTGTTTTAATTTCGTTTCCTGCATGTCCTCATATGGAAAAGCAATGGATCACGGTGAATGAACCAGGCCTCGCCCACTTACGGCAGAAGACAATAAACACGAAAAGCAATTACATTATGAGCTAAGACCCTTCCATTCCCCTTTGCTGTCACATTTATATGTGATAGTGGCTTTTAAAACTTATAAAAATAAGGTCTGGGCCAGGTGGTGGTGGCGCACACCTTTAATCCCAGCACTTGGTAGGCAGAGCCAGGCAGATCTCTGTGAGTTCGAGGCCAGCCTGGTCTACGGAGTGAGTTCCAGGACAGGCGCCAAAACTACACAGAGAAACCCTGTCTCAAAAAACCACACACACACACAAAAAAAAAGTCTGGAGAGATGGCTCACTGGTTTAGAGTACTAGCTGCTCTTCCAAGGGCCCAGGTTCTATTCCCTACATCTACATGGCAGCCCACAACCTTCTGTAACTCCCATTTCAGGGGATCTGAATGCCTTCTTCTGGCCTTCTCAGTCACTGCATCCATATGGTGGACAGACATACACACAAACAAAACCCATACATTAAAAAATCGTCACAAAAATATATCTCCTTGCCTCTCTTCCTGTGTTACTTTTCACAATCTCCTTGAATAGACTTGACTGTGGGCCCACAGGCACCCTTGATCTCCTCAACCCTTAGAACAAGATTCTTCAAAATGTTATTCTCTGTTTGCCGCTTGCTGATGCTTAGTGCTTCTCTGCCTTGTCTTGGTGGGGCCCAGGGACCACTGATGTCCTCCCGATGGCACCCTGACTTCTGAACCACACTCTAGAATACCATAGATGCCTAATCTTCCAAGTCCCCGGTTAACCACCAGAACCAAGAGAGAGTGGAGTTACAAGAGAGAAGCAGAAGCAGGTGAGGCCCCCGGCTTGTGCAAGACTTGAGCTCACCCATTTTCAGAAGATTCCCAAGGATGCCTTCCTGGCCTACGATTGGTGGAGGAGAAGCTGAGACCCAGTGGAGCAGAGACAGAAATGAGTAACAAGGGTCAGATGGTCTTCTGAACCATGAAAAAATAAATTCAAGATACTACAGTTTTAAAAAGAGCACATGACGGTAGTTATGAGGGAGACCGTGTGCTTATTACATTAGGAGACTTCTCTGTTTTAAGCCTGAGTTGATACTGCGAGTCTTATCCCTTTCTAGGCATCCATTCCACACACACGTACTGAGTGCCTGTGTACAGGGTACAGAAACAAACAACACATAAAATCTGTCTTCTGTCATACATAGGGCTCATGTATGTAAAGGGAATGGCCAGATGTGTAACACAGTCTTGGGAAGCCACTAGCACACACAGGTTAAAGACACAGAAAGCAATCGGTGTGGAGGCCACTGTAGACCAGAAGAGCCTTCTCCGACAAGGCAATGTCTGAGCTGATGGAGACACATGCCAGGCATAATTTATCTGTGCATTTAAGGGATGATCCAAGGCAGTCTCTGTGAGCAAGGCCAAGAATAGGAGATGACATCAGAGACACCAGGAAGTGTCCGATGGGGTGGGCTCCCACCAGGACTCTGGAGCCATCCTAAATGCATTAGGAAGTAACATGATCAGATTTGTGTTTTTAAATCATCACTCTGTCTGGCAAGATGGGAGCTGGCTGAGGGTCATATTGCGGCAACTGTCTAGAGAGAACGTGGCTCTGACTTAGAGTGGGAGTGAATGGAATATAAGAACCTAATTCTGAATGTATTTTGAAGGTAGCCCTGGCAAGACATTAATGTACTTTGTAGAGATTATAAAGAAAAGGAGGGACCTGAGATTTGGGGCTTCAGAGACAGGGTGGACGGTGAGATCATACACTAAACAGGAAGCATGAAGGAGCCGGCTGAGGTGGGAAAGATATGAAAAGTTCTGTGTCAGACACTTGGAGCTTGAAATGCCTTTTAGAGACAGCAAGGGTACCACTGAATCCAGAGCTTAAAGTGAAGACTCAGGCAATAAACACTCAGGAGGCCACAGAAATCTTTAAAGGGCTGTAGCCAAAGTTCGGTAGGTAGAGTTTTTGCCTAGCATGCATAAAGCCCCAGGTTCCATCCCCAGAACCCAATAAAACCAAGTGTGGGAGTGCATGCCTGCAATCCTAGCACTCACACGGACAGGGAGAGCAGGATCAGGACTTTCAGGTCATTCTTGGACACTTAGAGTTTGAGGCCAGCCTAGGCTACATGAGATCTTATCTCAAAAAAAAATTTTTTCCCCCAGGAAAAAACTGGACATGGTCTTCTGATTGTGACAATTCTGAATTGAGTCATTCATCCAAATACATCAGTTAGGGCCTGGGAAATGGTCCAGTGGGCAAAGGCACTTGCTGGCAACCCTAACAACCTAAATTCAGTCCCTGAGACCCATACAGTGGAAGGAGAGGAGCAACTTCTGAAGGATGCGCTCTGACCTCCACATGCACACCTTGACATACGTGCCACTCGCAAAACAAAGAAATAAACTCTTCATTAAAACCCAGCGTGCCACGGAATGACGCTCTAGAGGATCCCACAAGTGACAGAGGGCGGCAATGGTAACTCACCTTTGGCACCAGCGGACGACTTTGCAATCCAAACGTTACCCTCCCCATCCTCTTTCTTTTTGTTATAAGAAGCCAGGAAGAATTCTCTCTCATCCGTCCTGGAGTTAGTGACCGGAAGCTGGATGCCATTCTGCGCTGGAGCGACCGGCGTCTTGAGGTTAGTTGGATAAATCACATAGGACTCGGGGAACCAGGTGCAGGACTCAGACAGCTCTGGACTGGTCTTGACTAGCCTGATGGATGACAGAGGGTCAGTCTCTGTTGATGTCACCTTGCTCAGAAAGGCTGCTGCTTTCCCCCCAAAGCTTTTCCAGAAGCCAACACCCAGTCTGGCTTCTTCTCTATTCACACTTAACCTGTAAGGCAGACCTCTAATGAAATGCATCACACTGTCTGGTGTGGATCCAAAGCCACATCCTGGTTAATCCAAAGGCTCACAGTGGGCTGGGAGTGTGGGGCCCTAGGTTGTAGAATATTAATTTAAGGTGTGTTACTTTTGTTTATGCTCTGGAACGTTTGTTTAATGATGCAAAGATATGTTTGATTAAATAAAATTCACCTGCCATCAGGAGACTGAGTCAGCAACTAGCTGACAGGAAGTGGGAGGGAGGAGCCAGGTGAGAAAGGGTTTATAAAGAGGGGTGAGGAGAAGCACCAGGGCTTTTTGGAGGACGAAAGCAAGGAGAGAAGGTGAGCTACTTGCTATTCAGCCTCTCTGAGGAGCAGAATTCCACCTTAACCTTTGACTCTGGAGTTCTTTAGAGGGACAGAGGTTTAGTTAAGTTCCCTCCCTAGCTCTGAAAGACTCAGGGCCTGATGGAGCAGCTCTCCCTCCGGCTCTGGCCCTTGTGGTCTAACCGCTGCCACAGCAGTGGAGTTGCAGCTGCTGATTCGACAGCCGTGGCTTAAAAGGCGGCAGCAACAAGAAGCCGGGCGGCGGCGGCGACGGCGGCGGCAGCGCACGCCTTTAATCCCAGCACTCGGGCGGCAGAGCCAGGTGGATCTCTGTAAGTTCGAGGCCAGCCTGGTCTACAGAGTGAGTTCCAGGACAGGCACCAAAGCTACACAGAGAAACCCTGTCGGGGGAAGGGGGGGGTGGCAGCAACAATTTAATAAAAGGACAACAGCCCCAGGTTTGATCCTCAGCACCACACACCACATTGGTGGTGCATGTCTACAATCCTAGCATTTGAGGGGTGGAAAAAGGGCAGAAGTTCAAGGTCTGAAGAGCAGCATGAACCACAGGAGGCCCTGGTTCCAGACAAACAACGCCACAACAGCAAAACTCCCGAGGCTCAGAACTGAACTCTTTTTAACTGTATCTCTGTTAAAAACTCAATGCAACCCTAAACTGACACCTTCAGCCAATGTGTTTCAACTAGCTAAATCCAAATAAAAACAGGAGCACACCTTTAATCTTGGCACTGGGAGGCAGAGGCAGGTGGATCTCTAGAGTACGAGGCCAACTTGGTCTACATTGAAAAAAAAAGTGAGGAGAGAGAAAAATACTTGAATAAGTAGCAACAATACCATCTTGGTGCAGCTGCAGGAAAATCTAGGGGAGAAAAGCGACTCTGTCTACTTAATAACTCAGTCTGAATCATCCAAACACTATTTTTAAGTCCTTTATTTTTTGCTTTTAGCTCAGGCTGTTATCCTGGTAGAATAAAGAAGGGTCCTCCCAATGGGACACAGGACAGGAACGGACCTAAGGAAATGCCTTCTGCTCCCAGAATGACATAACCCCACAGAAGATAAAGTCAGGCCCTGGGCAAGGCAGGTAAATTCGAGGGCTTCCCACCACACCAACTCTCCGGCCACTCCCAGATCTGGGGCTTCAAGAACCTGTTCCACAAATGAAGAACTGAGGCACAGACATGTCAAGTTCCTACATCACAGGTGTGCAAGGTCCAGCCAGGATGCCAACTTCAAACTCCTGGGTCCTAACTCTCATATTAAACCTATCCCCAGGAACTGGAGTCACTGAGGACAAGCACAGGCCTCTCTGAAGCTGCCATGCCCTCTTCTGTCTAGAACAGAACTGCTCATGTGCGTTCTGTATCAAGACTCATCTACAACACCCAGTCTGAGCAAAGAGCAAAAACAACCACATTTTAAATGAAGATTTTAGATCAAATGGCCGGAGAGATGGCTCGGGGCTGGTCAAGTGCTCGGTGTGCAGGCATGAGGAGGACCTGAACTGATCTCTAGAACCCTACGGAAGGCAGCCCGCTCTGACGTGCCCTTCTGAGTCCAGAGGTCGGGGAGCAGGAGACACAGATCCCCGGGGCTTGCTGGCCAGCCAGCTTAGCCTACTGTCTCAAAACAGTTTTGGTTTTTCAAGACAGGGTTTCTCTCTGTACCCCTGGCTGTCCTGGAACTCATTCTGTAGATCAGGCTGGTCTCTAACTCTCAGAGATTCTCCTGCCTCTGCCTCCCAAGTGCTGGGATTAAAGGCCGGTGCCACCATGCCTAGCAAAAAAAGAAAGAGAGAGAGAGAGAGAGAGAGAGAGAGAGAGAGAGAGAGAGAGAGAAGAGAAAAAAGAAAAAAAAATTTTGAAAGGTGACTAGTACTTAAGAATGACACCAGAGGCCTGAAGTTATTCCCTGACCTCCATACACATGGTTATCAAATACATGTGTGTACACACACACACTTTTAAATAAAGCCATTTTAATAACAAACAGGATTTGAAAGTTTCTTCAACCCAAAGAGACTCAGAAATATAAATGGACAAACTTCTAGCTCCTTAGATGTTCAGCTCTGCACCACTGTCCTGTACGGTCATCATGGGTCACATGCAGCCACTGAGCATTTGAACGGTGGCCAGTAAGACTCAGGAAGTAAACTATCAACTATAATTTTAATCAGAAAACTAATGCACAGCACTAACATTTTTCCAGTAAGCACAGCTTTATTGATTTAGCAGGATGGCATTTCCTTTATTATTGTACTGCAACACTCAGGTCACACACGGATGTTGTTTACACACACGGGTGTTGTTTCTAGGAGCGCGCACAAAAGCACCACTGTTCTATCCAGGAACAACAGATCAATTCAGCTCAAGCAATGCCTTTTTCTGTACAGAGATGAAATGTGATGTGTTCATTATACAGTGAGGAAAGCTAGCTACCTATGCACACCATGAGTGGCATCTGAGGTGGAATGTGACTGTTTTTCTAGTTAAAAAAATAAACACCGGTGCTGGAGAGATGGCTCAGTGGTTAAGAGCACTTGCTGTTCCTGCAGAGGACCTGGGTGTGGTTGTGGCTCACAACCATCCTGGGGATCTGACACACTCTCTTTCGGCCTCTTTAGGCACTGCATGCGTGTGGAACACGTACAGACATGCAAGTTAAACACTCATTCACATAAAATGAGTACATATTGACAATTTTAAAATTTAAAACATAGGTGAACTATTAAGAAATTGAAAGAGGGACGCAGAAGCTAAGAAAATGCCCAGGAAAGTAAAGAAAAAAAGGAATAAGTAAATGAAATAACTGGAAAAGATATGCCACAAATTCACAATCAATGTTAACGACTCTGCTCATGGCACAATAAAATGAAAAAGCAGTCTGTTTGGTAAAGACAATATTTTCAGCAAAGAATATTTGATAAGCACTTTTCCCTCCACAGTCAAGAAAGAATCAACAATATTAGTGGTTGAGATCATAAATACCTAACCAAAACATTATTTTTAAAAAGATTTATCTTACTATATTTAAGTGTGAGAGTGTGTGTGTGTGTGTGTGTGTGTATGTATGTATCTGTGTGCATATGCACATGTGAGTGCATGTGCCAAGGGCAGGCATAAGATGCCCTGGAGCTGAAGGGTAGACATGATTGTGAGCTGCCCTGTGGGGCTGGCAACCACACTTACATACCCTGCAAGGGCAGTGTGTGCTCTTAACCACTAAGCCATCTCTCCAATCCCTAAACATTCTTAAACGTATCTTTCCTCTTGCAATGCTGAGGACAGAATCCAGGACTCCCACATCCAGGAAAGTCCTCTCCAACTGAGTTACACATCCTCTGGCCTGCCAACAACTTTTTAACAGGACCTAAACTTGTAACTTCAGCTGGCCATAAAATAGCTTTCATTCTTATACAAAAAGAAAACCATTGTACATGGACAGACAATGAAATAATTTTTTTTTTTTCCGGTGCTGAGGACCGAACCCAGGGCCTTGTGCTTGCTAGGCAAGCGCTCTACCACTGAGCTAAACCCCCAACCCCGAAATAAATTATTTTAAGGAAAAAAAAAAACTTGAAAATATATTGTGTTCACCAGTTTTATGTGAACTTGACACAAACTGGAGACATCTGAGAGGAGGATCCTCAATTGAGAAAGGGCAGCTATGATTAAGACCCAGCTGAAGAGCATTTTCATAATTAGTGATTGATGGAGGAGGGTCCAGGCCATTGTGGGTGGGGCCATCTTTGGGCTTGTGGTTCTGGGTTCTGTAAGAAAGCAGGCTGAGCAAGCCATGAGGAGCAAGGCAGTAAGCAGCATCCTCCATGGCCTCTGCGTCAGCTCCAGCCTTCAGGTCACTGCCCTGTTTGAGTTCCTGTTCTGACTTCCTTTCGACGATGGATTATGATGTGGAAGTGTAAGCCAAATAAACCCCTCCCCCTCCACAGGCTGCTTTACGTCAAGGTGTTTTCATCACAGCAATAGTAACCCTAAGACAGATATCTCTCAAGTTTTATAGTCAATCCCCAAGCAGCCATTGGCTATAAACTCTAATATCAAAAATTGAAAAATTTTAAATTATTAAAGTTTTCCTTAGCCTTACATAAATTATGATATAAGCAGACGTTGCCCAACTAATGCTTTGGGCATGCTTATCTGGAAAAATAGTGTCCAAGTTCAGCCTAGAAAGTGTTGAACTCATGGTGTAGGCATCTTTTAAACATTTTGCATCTATCAAAGAATTTCATCTACATGTGAAAAATTAGTTTCTGTCCTAACAGACAGAACTTCACCAGGTTGGGTTAAAATGTGGATTTACTAGTATGGTGATAGATGTTTCCTTTTTTACTCATTCCCAGACAGTACATACTGGAAACACTTGCTTCCCTGCACCTGATGATACAAACTGGAAACATTTGTTTTCAGGGCCCACTCTATAAAAAGTATCATGGCTACAGCTGTCCAAATGGCTCAGCATACACTTGCAAATGCCATGTCACCTGAATCACCAGTTCAGAAAACTACTGAAAAACAAACAAAAAAATCTAACAAAAGACAGTGTTTTCTCCCAATACTCTCTGGTGGAGAGATGAAAGCATTTTCCTGTATTCACTCCAATTCATATGTTCCTGAAGTAGAAATATTTGCCAAGTCATTATTTTCACCCAGTAAGCCATTAATTCATTCAATATTCATAGATTTATAAATGGCAGTGTTACACAAAATCTCACATATATTCATTATTGACACATAAGCTAAATGTACAGGTCAAGGAAGAAAAAACTTTGTAATCTATCATACACATATAATAACTTTTGTTCCAATTTCATACATGCTAATAACCATGATTTTTACATATTTTTATCATGCAACAAAAATGCAGAAGATTTTGCTTGTAATGATGTTGTGAATGTTAGCTGAAAAACTAAAAGCTTGAAAATATGTCAAAAGTAACTTAGTTACTTTTCAATATGTTCAATACCCCTTTAAGTCCAACATTAAAAAAATGAGCTGACATATAATTGGAATTCAGTTAATGTGGACATGTTTTTTTTTCAAATGATATGTTTTTGCTTCGAACTCAAGAGGAAAGGTTTGCTTGATGATCCAGTTATTAAAACCCTTTTACATATGTTAGAACAATGTGGATACAGAAATCTACTTTTGCGTGTGTGTGTGTGTGTGTGTGTGTGTGTGTGTGTGTGTGTGTGTGTGACAGAGTCTCATGGAACCCAGGCTGGCCTCCTTGGGACTTTGCTGTATCTATTAGGTGAGCACTCTACCAACAGAGCCTCACCCCAGCCCTAAATCTACTTTTTCAACCATAGTTTATGAAATCTAAATTCAGGTAAAGAGTTTCCAGTGAAAATGTAACCTCTGACCTAAGACATGCTACAAATTAAAATGTGTCAGATTTTGAAGACTTAGAATGAAAAGTACAATTTAGTTTTTATAACAATAACATGTCAAAAAGACAATGTAAGTTTAGGGTGTGGGTTTTTGTGGGGGCTACTTTTTATAACGCTGAGGATCAAACCAAAGCTTTGTATACTAAAAGCAAGTGTTTTACCAATAAGTTACACCCTCACCCCCATTGTCTCATTGGGATTACTATTGCTGTGATGAAACACCATGAACAAAAGCAACTTGGGTATGAAAGAGTTTATTTCACTCCCAGTTCCATGGAACAGATCATCAAAAGCAGTGATTGTAGGAAGCCACACAGGGCAGGAACCTGGAGATAGGAGCTGATGCGGAGGCCATGGAAAAGTGCTGCTTACTGCCTAGGTCCTCATGGCTTGCTCAGCCTGCTTTCTTATAGAACCCAGGGCCACCAGCCCAAGGATGGCTCCACCCACAATGGGCTGGGCCCTTCCCATGTCAATCACTAATTAAGAAAATGCCCTACAGCCAGATCTTATGAAGACATTTTCTCACCTGAGGCTCCCTCCTCTCAGATGACTCTAGTTATGTCAATTGACATAAAACTAGCCAGCACCCCCATAATTCACCCCCATAATTTGGATTTATTTGCTTAAATAAAATAGATCGACTTGATGGCACCTGTTCTTTGTCCTTGCTATTTTAGGTCTAAAATTACACATGTGACTGGCATCCTGTTTCTGCTGGGCAGTGCTGGTTTGTAAGGTGATCTTGGCTTGGAAGCCCTAATTTCTAGGACAGAGGCAGGGCTAAGCTTTGCATGAGGTCCTTTGCATTTCTTCGCTCCCTTCGGTGGCCAGTTTGGGAAGCAATTGTGCAATTGCAGGTTTATCCACATCTGCAAGGGAGTGATGCTCAGAAGAGAAAAAGCCTGCCACCCTGCCGGGAGGTGAAGAGTCCCTCAAGGGCTCTAGAGTCTCGAGGGATCTAGGCTGTGGCCATAGGGTCTTCATGAATTTCCGATACTACCTGAAGTGACCAGAAGAAGGAACAGGTTGTCCAAGATCCAGCACAGAACCTCATCAAGGCTCTGGGAAGCCCTCTCAGGCATGCCTGGCCATACTGTTCTATTTGAACCTTCCTGGCTCAATATGAACTGCCGTGGCCTTGGGACCCACAGCGGACACCCCCACCCCACAGAATGAGAGCAGTCACCTTCTAACTCTCCAGTATCCCTTCAAGCCACACACAATCACAACAGACAGACACACTGCAAAAGGGAGCCAGCCTCTCCTGGAACTGCTACAGCCCCTGGCAGAACCCTTGGAGGACAGAGGAAGCTACGATGACGGTGACAACAGTCAGCATTTATAAGAGGCCATTACAGACGATATCTCATGTTACTCCTGGTCAAGGAATGGGTACCGGCACCAACATCTAAGCCCACTTTGCAAATGGGAGTCGGGGATTCAGCGTGGTGCTGTCCAAGGTAATAGAACTGGTCATGACTCCAGCTCTGTATTCTCTCTGACTCATTACAGCTGTTGATTATGCAAAAATGCAAAGCGCTATTATTTTTATAGCATCTTCTGCTTCCTACTTATAAAAGCAAAAATTCTACTTTTGTCTTTATGTCTCTGTGTGGGTATGTTCACGTGCCAATGAGTGTAGGTGGCAGTTTCGAGCTGTGTATCATGAGTGCTGGTATCCGAACACAGGTCTTGTGGAAGAGCAATATGTGTGCTCCTAACTCCTGAGTCATCTCTCCAGCCCTGGTCATTTACATTCTAAACACAAAAAGAATACATTGGCAAAAAAAATTAAAAAAAAAAAAAAAAAAGAATACATTGGCTGGGGAGTGGTGGCACACACCTTTAATCCCAGCAGTCAGAAGGCAGGGGCAGGAAGATCTCTGTGAGTTCAAGGACAGCCGGGTCTACAAAGTGAGTTCCAGGACAGCCAGAGCTATAAAATAGAGAAATCTTATCTGGGGAGTGGGGAGGGAGACAGCAAACAAACAAAATACATTATAGACTTTAGGAAGCCTCACTCTCTTTTAGAAGCCCATCCTAGAGAAGAGAGGTGGGAAAGACACCAGAACCCACACATCCAAAGAAAAACAGAGCGGCTATGATATGCACCCAACCTCTTAAGTCCAAAAGAAACATTAGCAAGGAAAATGAGCATTTGTCCCTACGAGAAGGCTTTTTGACTATTCGTATGTATTTACGAATCACAGGGAAAGAGTCTAGGAGACAAATGATAGCCCTGATCTTAGGGACCAGACGGAGAGCTTCCATATGAAAACGACAGTCATAATGATGATGACGGCAAGAGTCTCATTAGGTAGTTACCACCGTTCACTTTCAGAGAAGAGAGTTAAAGCACAAATACCCACGTGCATCAGGCCCTTGTGCTGCGTCCACTCACACACGTCTCCTGGTCTCACCCTCATAATTGCTTTATGAGGGAGGTACTCAGGCTTAGAGGGATGAGAAGATCTGCCCGCTAATTAGATTCTTCAAAGAGCTGGGGTTAATCCCCAGGTGCTGACCCTGGACCTCAGTCACTGTATACTGCTGAATTCTACCTTACAATACCATCCTTGTGATAGCTAGCCATACCCCAACAGCTCAGAGACGGACGGCTGTTGCACTCTATCTGAATATCTTCTGAGGACCCCCATTCCCCCACCCCCGACCACTGCTTGAGAGTCTTCTGAGGAGGCTTGCACACACCCTTCTCCAGGGACCGGAAATGCCTGGCAACTAACCCCACCCCCACCCCCAGCCCTTTCCCCACAAGAAGAGAGCATAGGAAAGTTTCTAGGTGAGCAGATGCCAAGAAAAAGTGGAACTGTTCCCGACTGACACTATGGCAGACGTTCAGTCACTTTGCTTCAAGTGTGACAGCTCTGAGGTGTCATCCACGTCAGAGCACTGGGGTAAGACTACAGCTAAAACTACTTCTTTGCTTGGCTTTTAATTCACCCTGCCCTACTCTGCCCCCCCCCCCCCCCACCCCCTCACCCCCCCGATTGCAGATGGATTTGCCTTGAATATCTTCCAAGAAACCACTTACACCAGAACCCCCTTCCAGAGAGTCAGGCATTGCTCTAGGAGCTCACCTAGGAGACAGGCGGGCTTTAGTAAGCGATACACACAGCAACGACTTAAACTGTAGTCAAAGCAACCCAGAGGGGCCCACAGCCCTGATATCTGTTGACTTTTAAAACAGTAAAGTTTTTTTTTTTTTCTCCTCCTCATCTTGGCCTAACCACTTCCGGATGAAAGCTAGAACCATTTATATAAAACACGGAAAACGGAGGTCTTCGGGGACACTTACTTCACCAAGGAAGCTTTCCGGCACAGTTTGTCCGCCCCCCTGTAGTAATTCACCAGCTGTGCCAGCCCAGGCTCGTGACCTACGAAGAAAGCAGCAGCTCAGAATGGAAACAGAACAGGTGCGGCGTGACAATGTCAGCAGCGGCAGCAGCAGCGTGCGGAACAGATGTGTCAACCCCAGCTTCCCTTTCTCTCCTTTCAGGCTGGGTGTCCCTCGCGGAATACTTTTGGCTCTGTGTCCCAAGGTCCCTCTTCCTCTCAGTATCCTACTCTCAATTCTGCAGCATTAACACCGCCAGGCAGGTCAGCTGTGGCGTGGCTGCCTTTTTCCTTCTTAGGAGAATATTGGGTATTGTCTACTTCATTTCTCCTTGGTCCTAACACAGCCCTCTCTCAGCTTCACACACACAGGCTTGTAATCTGCTGAGCAAGGTTCCTTGCACACAGCCACACATCCATCTCCAACCCCACTTTTTCCAGACATCGAAGAAGGCAGCGGAGTATGGCACATCCACCTCAAGGAGCTTCTAGAAGTCACTAAGAAGTGAAAGGAGGCAGTAGAAAGGCCCTGTGACGATGTCAGAAGCCCTGAGGACTTCTCTGCACTATCCCATGAGGAGACATGGATTAGCTCTTACTACAAAAGCTGTTCTAAAACCACAACAGGAGGTCTGCTGTGTGGCTCAGTGGCACAGTGCATCATCATCAACACCTAGGAGGCCATGAGTTCAATCCTCAGCGCCACAAAAGATGAAATAAATCAAGACTAAAAATTAGAAATAACATGATACAACAAAAATACATTTTATTTAAAAAATTTTTAACTCCTAACAAAATGCTTTGCATTTCCAGTAACAAAAGGTAAGATTTTAAAAAGAGACTTTGAGTTGGTGTCAGGGTTAACAATAATTAATCCAACCATGGCACATAACCAAATCAGAACTTTCAGATATTATCTGGCTTCCACAGTCTCCCTGGGGTAGACAGGTCCGATTCACTGTTGACCTGATGACTTCTCATGCCATTGGCCCTGGCTTCCAGCGCCTGCACACGACTCTGTGCTTTCCTCCTTGGGTTTTGCCGCCCACTTTAGACAGAAAGGGAATACTCTCAACAGTGAGGGTGCAGAACCATTTTAGTTAAGAGGATGCATCTGTCTTTTCCATAAAGATAAAACGTTTGCTGCTCATCTGCTAAATGTGTGGTGCCTTTTCAGGACTGGGATCACAAAGGGTTTCTCTTTGTCGTCACAGCAGCAAGGCCAACTCCCCCTGCCCCAGCCTGAGCAGAGCCTTTCCATGTGTTCTCAACACCAAGGCTCTACCTAGGCTCTTACCCTCAGGCACTGTCACGTGCCAAGAGGAAGGGAAGTCAGGAAGGGGGTGACAGAGGAAGGGGACGGACTGGTGGCTGTTCCTGTACTCCTTTCGGGAAGTTCGTTTAGTGGGATTTTCTTTGCTGAGCCCTTCCAGAGGAACCTGGTTAACAAGCACATTTCTATTCTGAGGTTTCTGAGACTTCCAACCAGCCCCTCCATGGGGTTGCCATGCTACAGTATAAACTTGTATGAGAATGAAAAGTTGTCCCTGGACTATTTCAGTATGGTTAAGCCCTTACACACTTCATTCTTCAAGCTATCACATCTTGATAGGGTTGTAATGTCACCCAAATGCCTTATGAAAGCTTGCCGAAGAGCCAGTTAATTCCAAACGACCTGCTTTCAGTCTAGTCATGCATCTCTGACCACACCTATTTCTGAAAACACTCTCCTCATCAGGACACGGGACACTACTCTGTGGGGTGTTCTCCAAGGTAGAGCGGTCTCTTCTTTGCTATCAATTCTCCCCTTCTGTCCTTGGAACACAACTGACCCCACCCCCAAGTGAGTTTTTGCAAAAGAACCAGCTACCCAGAGAGAGAGAGAGAGACAGGCCCTCCGCAGATGACCAGGCTCAAGTCTGTGGGATGCTAGTTGAACCCATCTGGACAACTTTTGGATTACGTCATTTAAAAGGGGGTCGCTGTCCCTTCCTACGGGAAAGTATGTGAATAAAGCTTCGCCCACGTGGATGAGGAGACCAAAGGGCATCCAAACTCCTGTAAAAACCATCATTAGGCGCACAGTTGCGGATGCACACTTTTGGTGCGGCTAAAAGAGAGGTCTGAAATGGAGCACCCCTCCACTCCCACCCACCAGCTTCCCTGGAAGCTCCCGCTTTGGGTAATTCAGTGAGTCTTTCCCAAATTCCTTGGGCCTCTCAGTAGCACAAGCCTCTGGGGTTTCAACAACGACAACTCCCCCTCCACACCCACACCACACAAGGCGGAATCCTCGGTGGTGGAAAGCTGCAAGATGATTGCAGCAGGCCCAGGGAAGCTAGGAGTCGAGGCCGACACTCCGGGTGCAGGGCTAGGGCACTGTCAGCACACACATCAACCGCACCGAGGCTCCGTTCGGAATCCAGCTATGGGTTTAGGTCTTGGTGGATCCATTTTAGATCTGCCCGAGCGAGCTAGCGCCTGGAGAAGATTAATGACCTTAAAAACAAAAGCGCTGGCTCCCCGGGGCCGTGCGCGCCACGGCCACGAGGGAAAGGCTCACCCAGTCTCCCGAAGGGCAGCCGGTTCCTCTCGCCCAGCATCAAGTTGAACCTGGGGTTGTCCCGCCGCAGCCTCTTCCAGTGGCCGGTGGCCAGCAGCAGCCGGGAGACCTCGGCGTAGACGCTGCTATTCTCGTCGCGCACCACGAAGGTGTACATGGCGAAGGGCCGCGCGCCCCGCAGCCGCCGCACGAGTCCAAGGCACCACGGCGGCCCCGCGTGGTC